CAGAAGTTGGCAGAGGAATTCTTGAAGGATCACATCTTTCTTTCCGTCGGTCGTGTGGGCTCAACCTCTGAGAATATCACCCAGCGCATTGTCGAGTGCGAATCCGATAAGGACAAGGATTCCGCTCTGCTCGATATCCTCTGCAGCGACTCTACAGGTCTCACCCTCGTTTTCGTGGAGACCAAGCGGCAGGCAGATATGCTTTCAGACTTTTTGCTCGATCACCGTCTCCCAGCTACCGCTATCCATGGCGACCGCACACAGCGAGAGCGAGAGCGTGCTCTTGAACTCTTCCGTACAGGCCGCTGCCCTATTCTTGTCGCCACTGCTGTCGCAGCCCGTGGCCTTGACATCCCTAACGTCACCCACGTCATCAACTACGACCTCCCGAACGAAATCGATGACTACGTTCACCGCATCGGTCGTACCGGCCGTGCTGGTAACACCGGTATCTCCACTGCTTTCTTCAGCCGCAGCAAGAATTTCAAGATCGCCCGCAGCCTCGTCGACCTGCTCAAGGACGCTAACCAGGAAGTGCCCGACTTCTTAGAAAAACTCGGCCGTCAAGGTAACTACTACGGCTCCAGCGGTGGTGGCCGCGGTGGTCGCGGTGGTGGCCGTGGCCGTGGGGGATCAAGCTCGACCCGTGACATTCGTCGCACTGGCGGTGGCTATGGCGGTGGTGGCATGGGTGGCAGCCGTCCTGCTTACGGGGGCGGGTATGGTGATTCCGGTGCTAGTGGTCCCTATGGCTACGGCGGAGGTTCTGGTGGTTATGGAGGCGGCTACGGTGGTGGATATGGAGGAGGCGGCTATGGTAACCCATCAGGCCCCACCGGTCCATCTTCCTGGTGGTAGGTTTTTTGTTTTGTCCAAAATCTCTACAAATCCAGATCACAAAATGCCCCTTCAAAAAAAAAAAAAAAAGAAAGAAGAAAGAAAGGAAATATGAAAGAAAGGAAAAGGAAAAAGGAGAGCAATATTGTGTTTGTTTCCGGTCTTCGACGATGTGGCCTATTACAGTTAAAAAACGAAAAAGGAGAGTTTTGGTTGACTCCCTCCCCCATTTCCTCTTTGGGCTTATAGAACAAGTTGCAATGTTAACGCAACCAAAACCATCTCCTAATATTTTTTTCCCGGGCGGCATTTATTCCACGGATGTTGTGCGGCTTTCGAGAATTTACCTTACCGGCTTTTGTCATGACTTGCAACGAATTTTCTCTTGATTCCTTGTCTTCATTTTTTTTCTTTTCTTTACGTTTTCTTGCTACAACTTACCTGATATTTCATTTCTCTTTTTCCGTTCTGCCTTCTGATGCGTGTACTAGTTCTTTTCGCTGTTTTTCTTTTGATCTGTTTCTTTTTATCAATTTACCTACAGGCTTTTCCCAAACCAGGGCAAAGATACATTTTCTCCATGTGTAATTTTCCCATGTCGTCTTCTGTTCTCTTTTATTCCTTGCCCTTTTGCTATGGATTGTGTTTCCAGTACACCATATGGTGCAGCTTCTACTCTGTCTTCCTTATTTCTTTCACATTTTCTCGCGTGCGTGCTTGTGCATATATGTCTGTCCGGTCTTGCGGGGCGGCTAATGTTTTGCATGAAGGAACAAAAAGACCAACAAGGGTGTGTCTGGTTTTTGGGCGTTAATTTTCCTTATTCTTTCCTTTTGACAACAAAAGATAACGAAATCTTGCGACTTTTTTCCTCAGTTTATCCAGCATGGTCGCTGTCGCTATTTCTTTCTTTTGATCAGCATCATCGTTCGTCTTCTCTTCTGCTTCGGGATGCTGTTTTACGTCTTCCCTGTTCTTTTTCTTTTGTCGTGTTATTGTTATGCATGAAAGGGAAAGGAATGGGAAGCTGAAGAAAAATGAGGGAAATTAAAATACAACAAAAGGGAAGAAAGAAAGAAGCGCAAGAGCAAATCATCATCCATATAGACCAGCGTTTGAACATGTTTTTTTTTTCTTGTTTTTTTGCTCTTTCTTCCTCCTATTCACCATCCTGTTTCGTTTTATTTCTATTTTCTTCTATTATTCCATGGAATTTATAATGGAAGGAAAGCGCAGAGATACAAGGATGAAACGGGGAAACCTACCCGCTCTTATCAGATATATCCAGATACCCCAAGATCCCTCGATTTTCTTTTTCCTTTTTTTCCTTTTTTTTTTCACAAGTCGTTTTTGTTTGAGGTTCGCTCATGATCGTACCCAACCAATACCTAGAATAAGAAGAGGGGAGGGGGGAATTGCTGAGAAGGAAACAAAAACGAACCAGAGGAAGGGAGGAGAGAGCTTTTAGACAAAAGACCTGCACCTGCACTGCAGACGCGCGAAACATAATACGTTAGTTTTCTCAACAAAATAAAAGAATTTTTTTACATAAAAATCATTTCTCGCCCCATAGCATGTTAAATTTATTTATTTATTTATTTTGTTTCATCATTCAGTCTCCAGCTTCTCTTGCTCTTGATGAATACGACTGTCCAAGTCAAGCTCCGCCACACGCATCAGAGTTCCCCGTGTGAAGGCTAACAAATAGTATCAACGAAGCTGATCTGGTTAATGGCGCAATCAATTGCCCTCTAGTTGAACGGCCTGCAGTTTGAAATAGGATCTCCTTCATTCCTATGGATGGCGGGAATATGGTTCCAGTTAATGCATGGGGAGGCTGCTAGAGAAGCGGTTCTCGCTGGATGCCTTGCAACCGCTGCACCTGCAGTAGGACTTCTTGAACAAGCTTGCAGGAGATCGCGACCAATGAATTGTAATTGGCAGTGCTCTTCAAACAGACAGAGCGTCACTGTACTGAAAATTCAGCAATTGTCGCTCCTGGCCAGCCAGCAAGTTCTGTAGGATGATGACACTCCGAACTGATTTGAGAAAACCTCGCTGTAATAGTTAGAAAGGACTGGTTAAAATTGCACTCAGCATGTGACATACAATTTGCTTCATTATTTGCATCGAGCGGCAGAGTTGGAAATGTCCAATATTTTTCGTATCTCAACCCAAGTCCCTGGGCATCCCAGACTTGAATCATATATATAATTGGTGAGACAATGCGCGGCTGCTTCATAAAATGCATAACGTCAATTATCTACTCACAATAAATATGGGGTAAAATGAATAGAAAAATGCCTCCTCTAAAAGAAAATCATTGCAATGCAAGTGTATTGAGATATTATTATATCACAACGCTTGATATGAAAGGATTATGCATCAATCATCTCATGCTGGGACTGTTGGTGGTACGCACTCTGTACATATTGCAATAATCATTTCACTCCTTAGCTCAAAATCAATGCAGTATGAAACAAATTCTGGCTTTCCAGGTTTCCCAGGGCTTATCTCTCTTTTTTTTTTCTTTTTTTTGTTTTCTCGATTCGCTCCCGGTTCCTTCTTTGTTCTCTCCTTGCAAACGAAATACCTGACTTACAGGGTTTACATCTCGAGTCTCTCAAACGAGTATAATGAGGTTTTCGCCATATGCAGAGCATACAGATACCGAAGGGAGAATATCGCGTTGGGTATGTTAACAGCGTTTGTGCGCTGTTTCTTTGGGTGAGCAGGCCAATATAGAGAGCAACATACCGTTTAAGGAGTGACTGCTGGCTCGAGTCATTTCCCTCTCCAGGGTGGGAGGTCAACGTGCCAATTCCCACAAGAGCTGCACTTTTGTTACTCCTCGCAGCAACGTACGAGTTTCCTCCCTTTATATCCTGGAGGTATTCACTCATCTACCCTTTCCAGCTCTGGCTTTGCCATTGATATCTCCAGAATCCCATTTTTGCCTGATCAATCCCTGTTCCGCCACAGGTCACCGATTATAACTCGCTGAAATGTCACCAAGAGAATGGGAGACGTCTCTATCAAGTTTACTGACAAAGGTATCCCCGTTGTACTTACATGCTCAGAGCTCTCCTGCAAGCACAGTTCTACACTCGCATTCCAGTTCTCCGTAATGACCTGGCCTTGTTCGTCTCCATACCCGATGTGGGGATGCAGACGTCCAAAGTCTTGATTGAAAAGAACCTCTAGTAACCGCGGAACCAACTCCGAGTTCGTTCCGGTGATTCCACAGTAACTTCATGTAGGCTCTAACAAGCGACGTTATGCAGAGGATAGTGAAGGCTTCCCCAGGCTAAATGCTTGCCATGGATATTATCTGGAGCATTGGCCCACACGAGATAATGCCACTATTCACGCTTAGATTTCTCCCGTTTGCGTCACTGGGACATCACACTGTCAGGTCACAGTTTCACAACCGGGGCCCATCCACGTTTGATGAGTTTCGAAGACACCACCTTCAGAGCAGTTCGACAAGATAAGTTTCAACCAAGGCCTGGTCAACATTCGCCTGGTGGTCGGAATTCTGGAGGGTTAGGAATGTGGGAATCTTGCAAGAGTTGCGCTTCATTTTTCTCTTTCCACCGCACTCAATCAAGAATGGGCGGCGCTGATGCAGAGTCCGTCATTCATAGACGCGATTTGTTCCCTTCCAAAGGTCATCATCTCTTTTAAATGGGATTAATATGGAGAAGCCTTTAACAAAAATCCACATATCAAACTCGCTCTTTGCCGCTTGAAGCATGCGAGCTTAAGCTGTTTCGTATAAGTTTCATTAGCGCGTTTTGGCCTTATATCGGGGGCTAACGCTCATTGTCACCTCAAAAGTTAAAGAAACAAGTAAAGAAAAGCAAAGAAATAGTATCTATGAGTAAGCCGCCCTAAGATTCAGGTAAATAAGGAGGTTGTTATTGAGCCCGGGCAGACAACTTGAATGGAATGGTGCAGCCGCTCGAGTTCGTTGTCTCGCCCATTTTAACTTCACCAAGGTTTGGCAATTCCGAGTCCGGGAGACCTCATGTTCACAGTCTGCAACAAACCTGCTCCCAACCTGCCACCTCTGCCATCTCATCTCACCACACGCAACCCGATAAACGCTCTTACATATTTACAATGCCCGCACAAATCCACATCTAGATCTCCCACAAGCAATGGCGAGCAGCATAATCCCTGTCTCCCGCGACACCTCTCCGCGCGCGGAAACCCCTATCACCACCACGACCACTGAAAAGCAAGACGAGCGCCACCACCACCAGCAATCCACCTCCAATGACCCGAACTCAACCATAACTACAGAGCCCGCTACAGATTCCCATAAACTCAGCGGTGCCTTCGAGCCCGAGAAGGAGGATCACCTCGACCAGCCCAATGGCGGTTACTACGCGGGTTCCCGCAAGGACTTCCCCTTACCCGCAGACCGCTACCCGCTCCCTCGAGCCAGCGTGAATCGACTGCTAGAACCGGAGCCGGGCTCGAAGGGTGGCCGCCAACGAAGCTATCTCGACGACCCCACGCATCCCATCCAGGGTTTCTGGACCGAATCTGGCACTTGGGAGGACTGGCCGCCCAAGTCTCCGCAGCCACCGGATGGCGACAAAGATGATGGACTTGAGAGCCAAGGTGGTGGAGATAGAAAGGGGATGGCGGAGTCAAGGGAAGGAGGGGAGGTTGCGGGGGAAGCTAAGGACGGCAACGGACGTTCTCAGGAACATGGCAAGCGGCCTCAGCCGCAATCACCTTCGCAAACACGCCGCTCCTCGTATGACCACGATACCACCAGTCATAGCAAACAGAGTAAAGCGAATGCCAACAGCAGCAGTTTCCACTCGTCCATTGTCAGCGCGACTGTAGGAACACGGCGGCAGGCCAATGGCACCATTGGGTCTGTGTACTCGGGTAATAAGATTCGACATTTGAAGAAGGACGATGGGATTCCGCTCTGGCGGAAGGATATCCAGTATGAGTTTCTGAAGCTCGTTTTCGAGGATAAAACACCTGTGTTTACGCGGCTATCCGATGGAGCAAAGGGCTTGGATTTCGCCGATATATACATCGATGCCATGGCGAGAAGTAGCAAGACCAGCAAGATTCTGAAGGATAAGTTACAGAACGATAAAGCGGCGGCGATTAGCATGGCGATGGTGTGCCTATTGGTTAATTTCGGAAGAATGAATACCACGCTTAATTGTGAGAACTTTCCCCAGAAGTTGCATCCTTAACCAGCGATATAGTTCTTCTTAGAAATTTACTAACTACTTGATCACTTTAGTCTTCCCGGAGATGCGTGCTCAATTACGAACATACCATTCCATCCCATCCCTCCAAGCCCATCAGGACCCGAATGCTTACAAGCAGCTTCAAGACGCGCCTAGGCTAAAGTCAATACTAAAAGGCGCTTCAGAAGACACTGATCAACCCAATACCATTGAAAAGATTAAGCAGGCGTCCGTCCCCCGTACAAACCCCGTAAATCTAATCTTCGTCCTCTCGCAATATGCCCCGCGCATATCCGAACTACACTTCTTCCCTCCCCGCGACTTTTTCGATCTAGTCATGCGCTCCAGTCTGAGCAGTAGGAGTCGCGCAAGGGCTTTTCTATGGCTCATGTGGTATTATCTGGAGAGTGACTTTTCGGTGCACGATGCGTTGAATAACCCGTTCGGGCCGGGGCTAGTGGGTGAAGGCACTGACGGGCTACCGTTGAAAGTGCCAGCCTTTGAGCCGTTGACGGAGGCTGAGGCTGATGCGGAGAATGTGGATACGGCGGAGGAGATTCAGTTTGGGGAGGAGAAGCAACGGGAGAGGAAACGTATGATTTTCCTTCTTCCTCGTTTTCAGGGAGTTATGATGACAAAAGAGACATTGAGACTAATGTTTTCCGTTTATATAGGAATTCTGGAAGAAGATGATACTAGTTTCAGGTCGGGCAAGAGACCAAAGAAGAGTTCGTTTAGCCTGAAATTAGCACCCCAGTATTTTTCATCTTCACAAGATCCCGCTAATCCGATATGCTATAGGTCTACCTGTTGACTACGCCAGCGACGACTTAACCTCTGAGATCGGAACAGGAGAAAGACACAGTATGACTGGCCGCACTGCTGGTGCTGATTACACTCTGGACGATGAGTTAGATTTCCCTGCTCGATACCGCTCCGGACGACGCACTAAACGCGAATCCTCGACAAACCGCTCATCTTTCAGAACTACGCAACCACGCCGCCTCGTCCTCAAGACGCGAATGGATCAGGCGCCAGATAACACATCCCCCGCTCCTCCCGGTTCAGCCCACCCAGTTCTCAGCCAATTCAGTGCCAGTGTCAGCTCCAGCTCACGCGCCGCACAGTCACATCAACACTATTCACATCAACAGGCAGGCAACAGCAGCGCTCGCCGCCCACGCCCGCTAACCCAACATCAACTCGCCGTCGAGCAACACCGCAAGCAACGTGTCGATTACCTCCTCGCACAACGCCGGACGGAAGCTCTGAAAGAAATCCGCGCACGCCGCCAGGGCGAGATCCCTTTCGTACGGGCGGGGCGCTTATTACAGAACCTACCCGAGGATTATGATACGGACGACGAGGATTCGTGGGGGAAGGGTGGGGTGTGCCCACACCCCGATGAGGAAGAAGACTATGGCGAAGCGGCGGGGTTTTACTATTCTGTGTTGAAGAGGGCTGCGAGGAGGTTGCAGCGGTGGGATTGGGATTGTATGGTTGATGATGCGAGGAGGAAAGTAGAGAGGGACAGGGAAAGGGAGAAGCTGGAAGAAGCTGAGGCTGAGGCTGAGGTGGAGAGGCATAAGACTGGCGAGGGGGAGGAGCGGCACATGTCGTTCATAAATGGGACACATGTCCCTGCCGCCGAACATGATAACGACAGCACCATTACTCCCATCCGCGCCGCCAAACCCAAAAGCCGCCCAAAGCGGAAATCGAAACCAGCGGCGGAACCGACCGAAGAAGGGAACGTGGCAGAGAAAAAGCCTCGCGCTAAACCAGGTACATCAAGTCGTATTCGCCAGTCTACGGGTGGTGCGCGGAAATCGCGGGTATCTACTGGACGCTCGCGGACGAGTGGTGCTCCGTCTGCGGCAGGCGCTGCTTCTACTGCAGAAGCAGCAGCTGATACAACTGGTGCAACTCCAGAAGCAACTGTAATGAAGGCAGAGGAGGGCCGTGACGCTGCCACTGTCTCTGATCATCTACCCGCGCCGGATGCTGTTAATGTAGGTGCGACACCCTCCTCAGACGATGATGTGAGCCATGTTGATGGAGATGGTGTCGGGGATGGGGATGAGGCGCTCGATGACATGGATAAAGAGCTGTTGGGCGAGCTGAGCGGGGAGGGGGAAGGCAGGGCACGCCCTCACCATCGGAAGCGCAAACCTCGCGATGACGATGATGACCATAACGATGATAATGATGAGGGCGCGTATGTGTACGCTGGTGCACCAGCATCAGAAGCTACAGCCGAACATGTAGAAGCAGAACGTGGAGGAGGTGAAGACGGAGAAAGCGAACGTGCAGACGTGGAGATGGAAATAGAAATGGAAGCGGAAGGGGAAGGGGAATCCGACGCACCAGGCCCACCCTCATCTCCGTCAGCAGCACGGTCTCATCCTCACGCGCACAGGCAGCAGAAGACATTAAGATCCGCTCCACCTCGTGCTCCAAGAATGGGAAACCCTGAAGAGTCGTCACCGCCACCCATGGCTATACCTAAACCGCGTTATTCCAGCGGTGTGATGATGGATTCTTATCGGGATAGTGATGTTGAGGGGTCTAGTTATTTAGGGGATGGGGATGAGACGAGGCTCAGTGAACACGGACGAGAGCGGGGCGATGATACGGATGAGATTGAAGAGGAGGAGGGGGAGGAGGAGGATGGTGATGAAGGGGAGGGAGCTGGCGAAGAGTCTGGTGAGGGTGATGGGGCGAGTTCGGAGATGGAAGTTGAGGAGGAAGCGGGTGAGGGTGAGGGTGATGGAGATCAAGTTATGGCTGATGCGTAAATCTTCCTGTGTTTTTCTGTTGTAATTTTCATTTTTCGTACCTCTTTATCGAGAGGTTCCCCCTTCTCCCCCTTCCCCCCCCAACCATTGTCATTTTTGTAATCCTTTAATAAAATAGGGACTTTCCTCTTTCCGTTTAATCTTTATTGTCTATCTATTTTTTACAAGAAGGAAAGGAGGAATGTTCTTGATGCTTGAGAAGTTGAAAAGTGTACTTTCCTGCTAGGAAGTTAAACCAGAATAGTATTCATCCAGTACTTAGGTTTTCAAGAATCAACATAAGAAATGTCGTACATACAGAGTTCCGGAGTAAAGATAAATATCTATTTTTTTTGAGACATCATCAAAAAGCCGCAGTCGTAGGTTGATCTACAGCACCATGATTCTGTATGTAGAAGATATTGGAGCAGACACCCTATCCCTTTTCCTTTCTATCTACATTTACTAGTATTTCTTTGTGGTTGGCGGGTTTGTCTCTTTTCCATGCTGTATGTTTCTTCTCCTTTTGATATCCGATGGATGCGGAAGACCAGTTTGTCGAGATATATATACCCCATTCTTACCCAATGCCACAGGATAGCACTCTAGATACTAGTACTATATACACTAGTACATATAACCTATACAGATTGATCCTTCCACTATAATGATACTGGAAGAACTCGATACAGGGGTCTTGAGGCACTATTTCCATCGAATTCTGGAGGTGAGGTACTAGTATCTGCAAAACACGAATTTCCCGTGGGTATTTTACCGCTGCACCGAAAGGAACAATCCTTATGGTGGGTTCCCGTCATAAGATATTATATATTTGCATGTTTTTTTTATCCATTCCACGCTGCGATCCTGCTTCTTGCTTTCTTTCTCGCTATATTTTTCCAGGGGCGACTGACTAAGCGCGAGCTGCCTGGCTTTTGCATGTGACAGGGCGATTGCTGACTTCGTCTTGGGATATTTATATATTAAGGTTATGCAAACAGACACACACACACACACATATCTATATATATACTAGTATATGTGTACTCCGTGTAGCTGGGGACGGATTCCCAGCTTGTATTCAGCATTGATAGCTTCTGTCTTCTGCCCTTCTTCTGCTAGATAAATATTCCATATCGCGCGCTAGTACATGCAGCTAGCGTCCGTCGGCCAAAAAGTTATTCTGTCTCTCTCCTGTGTGACTTTCAAAGCCCCCGTCGCAGCAGCCTTTTACATCTACCACCAATCACCAGAGCATATAGGCTTCAGGAACAAACCTCTCATCTCCTAATCGCCGCCTTCCGCCCCAGCAATTCCAACAAGACCAATATCCCAGGAGAGCAAGAAGAATATCACGAATATCACCCCGGAAATGGACCACGAACCGCCAATCCTGCGTCCCCGTGCCCGAAAACCTTTTGAGCTCGCCTCCTCTTCCACCGAAACCTCTGAGTCCCCGACCCCCATTCTAGAAAGCTCAAGCTCCACTACCGCCACGATGGCCAACAATACCAACCAAGACTCCCTTGACCCTTCTGCTGCCTCTTCATCCAAAGACTCCCTCGCTGCCAGCCGCACCCGCTCAATCCTTAACCTCACCTCGTCCACCCTCCTTGGAATCTACTCGCCCTCTACCCTCGATAGTCCCCGCTATGAGCTCTCCGCCTGGGACGCCGCCGTTGCCAGCGGCACCCAAACACCCACCACTTCATATAGCCCATATCCCCAGCGCTTCTCCCAGGCTACCACCACGACAACTGCCAGAGCTAGAACACCAACCGCAAGCATAACCAAAACGATTAACCCCTCTTCCACTTCCTCCAGACGCACCAGATTCATGCGAACACCTCGCCGCCGGCGCACCCTACGTACCTTCTACCTCCCACTCCTCCTTCGCAGCGCCCTCCTGTTCGTCTTCGGCGTCGTCTACGGCACCATCATCACCCACCTGCACGACAACCCGCGTGTGACGCCCATAAAGATCGAGAACATCGATGTCATCAAGCGTGGCTCGTGGGTGTATATGGTGTTCTGGGGTGTGGCGGGCGTGGCGCTGGGGGGCCTGCTACCGTGGTTTGATGTTGTTTGGGAGGAGTTTGTGGAAGGGGAGAGTGAAGGGGAAGGGGTGGTAGTGGGAGGGGAGGAGACGGAAGGGAGCAGTGGAAATGTAGAGGTTAGTAATAGGGATCTGAATGGGAGCGGGGATGGGAGTGGGGTTGTGCGCGCGAATGGGAATGGGAAGGTACCCGTGCAGGTGGACAGGGAGCAATTGAAGGATTCAGGATCCATAGCGGCCGATTGGAATCAAGTTGTCAGGAGCATCGGTGCGTTTGTGGGGATTGCGTTTGCGATTGTGAGTAGTAATTCTATATAAAATATATGCAACCTCCCCCCCTCCCCTCTCCCCTCTCACCCCCCAACTTCGACGGCGTGTGTCTAGGGTTATACTTTAAAACTAACTCCCTCCTTTCCTAGCGCAAACTCCCCTGGCAATCAACTCTGCAAGTCTCCCTAACCCTCGCGCTCGTCAACCCGTTCCTCTGGTACCTCATCGACCGCTCAAAGCCAGGTTTCATGCTCTCCACCGCCGTCGGCTTGCTGGGCATGGTCACGCTACTGGGCATCAATCCGGACGTCGTGCCGGGCCCGACGGTGAATGCAGCTGAATCTGCTGTTGCTGGTAATGGTTCAGGGATTCTGTCGTTCGCGTCCCAGGAGAGTATTGCGGTAGGGACATGGATTGCCAGTGTATTGTTCTGCAGCTGTGTTTGTTTTGGGAATATTGGGCGCCGGTTGGCGGTTGGTTGGGAGAGCTGAGCTGGACATCTGGCTGTTTGTTAACGGTTGGAGAGAGAGAGAGAGAGAGAGAGAGGACCGTCGTTTGGTCTCATCTCATTTCTCGCCGAGAAAATTTTTTGCTTCTTTGCTTTTCTGCCTTCCCCCACCTTTTTTTGTTTCCTATATAATTTTTGTTTACTACTTTTTTTTATAATTAACGCTGGCTGCCGTTGTTATTTTTCTATGGGATTACAATCCGGCTGGGAAAGGCGGCTTTTAATGCAGGGGGCCTCCTTCACCTATGTTGGGGGAGTGAAGTGGAAAGAAAAATCACAAAGTTGGAAATACGCACTCGATCAGCCAAGGGGAAAGGATGGAGAGAAGGAGGAAGCGAGAAACTTGATGTTTACAATCTCAACTATGGTAAATGGTGGCGAGGAGGTAAAATTAGAGATAACATTATTCGATTGCTTGATTCCCCAGGGCATGTATGTATTCTTTCTCAATGTACTTTTATTGACAGTTTGAATAATGACCGATATACTTTCTTTTTGCTTGTCTGATTATTTATATCTAAGGGGGAAGGGAAAAATAAATGACCATCCTTTCCTTCCATTCTGCCCTGCTTCCGAAAAAAAAAATAAATAAATAAAATAAAATAAAAATAAAAAAAATTCGTGAACGTTCAACGAACATTTATACATCTGAATGAATGTCCCGCCAATCATTGCAATCCCACTCAGAGCCTACCTCCGCGCTCTTTAACTCTGGAGAGAGAGGGAACGCGGAGAAAGGAATGACACTGCACCCAAGACCGACGAGAAGAAAGGAAAAAAAAAAACCAAAAAAGGTAATTTTTCCTTTCAATTACTCTCCATTCTAATAGACGATTTCCATACCTCATGGGCAAAAAACGGTTTAGAGAGAGTTGCCTTTGTAGGAACGCTTTTTGGTAGAATGTTGGATTTTTTTTTTGCGTTGTTCATGGGGAAGGAAGAAGGAAGAAGAAAGGAGGAAAAAAGAAGAACAGGAAAAAAATAATGTCGGAGGTCGAGATGAGGATCATGTGATGTTGAGGTGTTTGCCTTGTTTGCAACCCCAAATAGGTCAACTGCGACTAGTATCCATGGGTTAGCGCTCCACAGTAAGCGTCCTATCCTATATATATATATATATATATGCGGTGGTAGCTATAACAAACATCCTATCGGAGAGGGTGATATTTGAGCCTACTGCTGTCTTGTCCCAGCAGTGGTGGCTCTAACATTAAGTGTCTGCTTGTGTTGAAAACATCCATCTACCCACATAAGCCATCCATTTATACTACTACTACAGATTCTTCAAGAAGATACTCATGAGTACTAGAACCTTTATATTGCCGATGAAGGAGTTTTACAATCCTTCAATGAAAATAGAAACGCAGTTGATTACTAGTATGTTACAAAGAGCAGGACCTCTGGTCTTAATAGAGCTAGAGGTGAAAGCTGCAACAAGACCAGTTTAAACTAGCATTGCCCGCCATGCCTTCTACTCTGATCTCCACGGCCCATGATCATCAGAAGTGTAGGGGCATCAAGATGCAACAAGACAAATAAATACGTCAAATCGTCCTCCTGTTTGACGTGGTTTCAATTGCATTCTACCAGTAAACAATAGAGGTCAATTCCTCGTCTGGTGCAGGGGGGTAATTCCCCTTTCAATAGTGATACTAACTAACTAGCTGGGAAGGCCGAATGCCCTATTACATAAGCATGGTGGGGTTGAGGGGCCAGGAACACAATCAACTAAACTTCATGGAAAAGAAAAATGATTCGGCAAAAAAACAAGGAGAAGGGATAGTGAGAAGAATTGCTTGACAGGTTACCCTTTATTCACTTTTCTATTCAGGTTACCGCCGATTCCTTTCTCACTTTTCTTCTTTTCTTCATTCAGCACATGTCTGCGAGGTAGCAATTGTTGACCAAACTCAAGGTAAGGTAAGCCATTCGCATCTCGATCCCTAGTACTAATGCCAATGCCTTGTCGCCATTTTCCCGTCTTCATCCCTTTGGTGGTTCCCTGATGTGGCCTGATTGTCTGTTTTTGGTGATTGGTGTGGGGATCCCTGGGGGGAGGGGCTTTGGAAGAGACGGACTGAGAGGGTTTGGTTGAGGGATGATATGGATAGCTCATTCTGAGTCCTCCTGCTCTGTCTGTCCTTGCTTGCCTCTGTTTCGCTTTGTTGCCGTTTGTTCAAGTTTCTACCATTGAAAATTTTTCTTTCTTCTTGCTGTTGTACTGGGGAAACATCGGCCAACCCAGTTTTTGCAGCAAAACGCATCGCAACATACAATATTACTTGTTATGGCTGATGAAGTCCCTCCCATCCACCCAGACGTTCAAAAAATCTCTCGACGCTACCGAGCTCGACAAGGCCTGCTCTTAGGTATTTCCGTGACAAGATGGTGCAGAAGTCAGGTACATATCGATTTGTCTTCTTCCAACATATTCTGCATTTTCCATTGCTAACCTTATTTGTACTTGAATTGCTCCAGCGATCTTGTCTGTCTACGACAAAACCGGCCTACTAGATTTGGCTAAGGGTCTTATCCAACACAATGTCCGCTTGCTCGCATCTGGTGGTACGGCGAAAATGATTAGGGAGGCTGGGTTCCCGGTTGAGTGAGTTGGTCGCTTCTTGAGGGCAGGCATAAATTCCATGTCAATGGGCTTTCCGCTGTCAACAATACTGATGGCTGGTTTGAACCAGAGATGTATCGGCCATCACACATGCTCCTGAAATGTTGGGTGGTCGTGTGAAGACTCTCCACCCGGCAGTTCACGGCGGCATCCTCGCCCGGAATATCGAATCCGACGAACAGGACCTGGCAGATCAGAAGATCGCCAAGGTCGACTTCGTTGTCTGCAACCTATACCCGTTCAAGGAGACTGTGGCCAAGGCCGATGTTACCATTGAAGAGGCTGTCGAGGAGATTGATATTGGAGGTGTCACTCTGCTGCGCGCTGCTGCCAAGAACCATGCCCGTGTTACCATCCTCAGCGATCCCAGCGATTACCCGGAATTCCTAAGTGAGCTGGAAGCGGGGGATATCTCGGAGAAGAACAGGAAACTTTACGCTCTCAAGGCGTTTGAGCACACCGCGAACTACGATGAGGCGATCTCGGGCTTTTTCAGGAAGAAGTATGCTGCTGATTCTCAGTACATCCCACTTCGTTACGGTGCGAATCCCCACCAGAAACCCGCTTGTGCCTTCACAAGACAGAGCCAGCTACCGTTCAAGGTCCTTGGTGGGTCTCCGGGATATATCAACCTCCTTGATGCTTTGAACTCGTGGCCTCTCGTCAAGGAATTGAAGCAGGCTCTGGGTTACCCCGCTGCTGCCAGTTTCAAACACGTCTCTCCTGCTGGTGCAGCCATTGGCGTCCCGCTGAACGAGAAGGAGAAGAAGGTATACATGGTCGACGATATCGCCGGCATTGACGATTCGGGATTGGCACAAGCATACGCCCGCGCCAGAGGCGCAGACCGCATGTCCAGTTTCGGAGACGTCATCGCCCTTTCCGATATCGTCGACGTTCCCACCGCCAAAATAATATCCCGCGAAGTCTCTGACGGCGTCATCGCCCCGGGCTACACTCCGGAGGCCCTAGCCCTCCTCACCAAGAAAAAGGGCGGCAAATATCTCGTTCTCCAAATGGATGAAACCTATAACCCCCCCGCTGAGGAATCCCGCACCGTCTATGGCATCCAGCTCGCTCAACACCGCAACGACGCAACCATCCACCCCAACGAATCCTTCACGTCCATCGTCACGCCCAAGGGCCTGAAAAAGCTCCCCGACCCTGCCCTGCGCGACCTTACCGTGGCCACCATCGCGCTCAAATACACACAATCGAACTCTGTCTGCTACGCGCTGAACGGGCAGGTAATCGGCCTTGGCGCAGGCCAGCAGAGCCGCATCCATTGCACGCGCCTGGCGGGCGACAAGGCAGATAACTGGTGGATGCGGTTCCATGAGAAGGCGCTGAATATCCGCTGGAAGCCCGGCACGAAGCGGGCAGATAAGAGCAATGCGATTGACATGTTGTGTTCCGGGCAGGTGCCGGGGAATGCGGTCGAGAAGGCTGATTTTGAGAGAGTGTTTGAGGAAGGGTGTGTGCCGGAGCCGTTTACGGTTGAGGAGAGGGATGCGTGGCTGAAGCAGTCGGGGGAGGTGGCCGTTTCGTCGGATGCTTTTGTGAGTCTTCTTTTATTGCATTTGTTTTACTTTTGCTTCCTTCCCCATCCCTTATTTTTTCTTTGTCCGGTCTGTTTTCAGAGGGTGCAATTGCTAATATGCCCTTGTTCTTTTAATGCTTGTTTTTTTTTACTACAGTTCCCGTTCATCGACAATGTGTTTCGCGCCGCACGGTCTGGTGCTAAATACATCGCTGCCCCAAGCGGGAGCCAGAACGATGGCCCTGTCTTTGAAACAGCGGAAAAATTGGGGATTGTGTTTGTGGAGCAAGGCACTCGGCTGTTCCACCATTGATTTGATTTTTTAGTATATATTTTATTTTTTGTTCGCATATTTTCTTTTTTCCCCCTTTCTTTCTTTCTTTCTTTCTTTCTTTCTTCTTTTTTTATATCATTAACTGCCGGGGGTAAAATGAAAAAATTAGACAGCTATCAAAAGTTAAAGTTCGTGGCGATGTCAGGCTGTGATGGTGAGAGCTCTGATGAAGCCTGCATGCATGCTATAGTGTAACAGGTATGTATATACAATACGTATAAAGCTGGAGTCCAAGGACCGGCTTCTCATCTTTTTGAATCTACGTTTCATTGATACCTTGTCTTCTCTTCTCTTCTCTTTCCCATTTCAACGATGTGGTTTTATATATAACTGTCTCTGCATCTTATTATCCAGATTATTCTTATTCCTAGTAGGTACTAGGATACACGAACTGAACTACTACTTTCATCCCCTTTCCAAGCCAGACCTGCTCAACGTTACGGTGGCCATCACCAGGCCTCATGAGGTTGTCGTTTCCCGTTATTTTATGTTCATATTGTTGTCATTAGGCGCCACCAGGCGCAAGAGAGCAGCAGGAATTGGGGGGATGTGGTTTGATCCAACTTGGAGGAGGACGAAGCTACAATCCCAACAGAAGCGCTGCATATTAATCTATCTCACTCACAGAGGGAGTCGAACGGATGGTAGGTAGTTCTTCGACTATCAATCTCTATGCATTTGTAAGTAGGTCGGTCTGTTGGCAGTCATGATAAAAATTGGCTATGCCATAGGCAGAGGGTCAACTACACAACATCTACCCATTACACTGGAATCACTGATTGAATCCCTACTTTGCTCCTCAGTCTTCTATCAAGTTGCCGGGTTCCTCAGAGCCAGTCCCTGGAGGCAGGTTAACTACCACTGAGCCCTGGTGGTTATCTTTGGTGAAGGGGTTATTGGCACTGTTACTTGTAGAATTGGCTGGCTTGGACACGCTTTTCATCTCCCCTCGCATAATGGAGAATGATTGCCTCGGGAATAGGCGGGTAGGAAAGACGGGTAAGTACATGTACATGCAGAGCCCATTTAATATGAACACGTCCTCACTGATCGATGCTTTGGCGAGGAGAGTGGTGGGCGGAGAAATTGAAGGCGATATCATGCGCAGGAAACTTCTTATTGTCTCTCTTATTCCTTATTTCCCTGAAGGTTGGAAGGACAACAGTGGCCAATGAGTATGCATTGCTTATATTAGCCGCCCTTGTGATCCGTATAGTACATATCGCATGGTAGTAATAATGGGTAAATAATCGGGAATAACTAGATGATCAGAAAGTGTACTCGGATTCGATTCAATGTAAGGGATAAGGTAGTAAGTATGCTGGCGAACTGACCCAAGATTAGACCGAAGATACAAAGAGACAAAGGAGATTGTTAACCCTTTTTGAGGATTTGATGGGCAGCCAGCCGGTGCGTCGTCCACCAGCCGAAGTGATGATGGACATGAAGAAGCAGACATCACGTCCTTTAGGTGGCTGCGGCTGCGGCTGCCACGTGACCTGGCAGCCCAGGCCACGACAACAATCTCCTGAAGCTGGATTCTGCCCTTCAGACAACATCTTCGCACCTCCATTCCACCCCCAATCCCTCATACCACCACTCTTTCTTCCCTTCTCTTTCTTTCCATTTCCTGCATTTTTTCCTTCTTGGTCACGTCATTGCTATTGCCCTCACGCGCGACTCATCTCTTTGCGCGAGGCGTTTTGTTTGGGTGCATGAGGTCGTCGTCCTTCGGCCTTCGCAACCATGGCCAATCCCGCAGACATCCCAATCAAGCTCACTGAGCTTTTACAGGTACACACAACTGTCTCTGTTTCAAACCCGAGCTTGCGTATATGAGCATTCAAGACTGACTTTGATTTCTGCCTGGTTTGTCTATAGCTGAAATCCATCGGAGTTTCGGTAGGTTTTTATTGCCCAGTGCAACCACGACTTTTTTTACATGCGACATCTCATTGCCAGTTCAATTGGGGAACCGCGCATCTCTATCGAAGCTGGCGGCAAGTTGCACAATCAAAATGAATAGCGTGCTAATACCCCCATTTCCCCATCTAGGAGAACGCCATTTTTCCTAGCACATGTGTAGGTTGCCCATACGTCTTCTGATACTTTTTTTCCCCTTAAACATCAACCCCTGTCATTTCTAGAACTATTTAAATCTAACCACCCCATGATCACAAAATCAGACCGTTGAATCCGACCGCTTCGTCTGCGTACGACAGAATGTCGGTGGCCAACAGCAGATCGTTGTCGTCAATCCCAAAAACCCAGATGAAACCATCCGTCGTTCCATCCCTGGCGAGAGTGCTATTATGCATTGGAATAAATACATTCTAGCCGTCAGGTCGGAAGACGGAAATCTCCGAATCATAAACCTCCAGACGGAACAGATACTGAAGGACGTTAGATTTAGAGTCAAGATATTGTTCTGGAAATGGATTAATGAGCGTTCTCTTGCCCTGGTGACAGCAACCCATTCCTACCACTGGGACGTATTCGGCGAGAAAACCCAGCCTGTTGAAGCATCTGTGCATAAAGAAAGGATAGATGAGGAGGTGGGTATCTTATCTATTGTATTGTTTTTCCTGAGATTTTCTGACTGACCGTTTCTGCTGCTTCTAGCATTGGAAAGTCTTTAACTACCAAACTACAGATGATGAGCAATGGACGGCAGTTATTGCTGTTCAGGCCCAAGACAACAGCAAGCCCACTCTGGGGAAGATTCAACTTTATTCCCGTGCGCGATCCGAATCCCAAGTAATCGAAGGGCACGCAGCAGCCTTTGGCAAAATCCGCGTCGCCGGAAACCCTGCTGAGACGAAAATCTTCACGTTTGCTGTTCGAACTTCAACCGCTGCGAAAATACACATTGTGGAAATCGACAACGAAAATCCCACTAAAAAATTTCCCAAGAAAGCTGAACAGCTCTTTTTCCCGCCAGAGGCCATTACAGATTTTCCCTCTTCTATTCAGCTTTCTAGGAAGTACGATATCGCTTACATCGTGACGATGTTCGGTTTCATTCATCTGTACGATCTGGAGAGTGGTAGCTGTCTGTTTTTGAACAGAATTTCTTCTAGATCGATATTCGCCACGGCCCTTGATTCGGAATCGGCGGGTCTCGTTGGAGTTAACCGCGATGGCCAAGTTCTTGCCGTCAGCGTCGATGAGGACAAGATAATCCCATACATTTTACAAAAGCTCAATAACGAAGGACTTGCAGTCAGACTCGCGTCGAAGGGAGGACTTCCAGGAGCGGATGGTTTTCTGAAGAGAGAATTCGACTCAATGGTGGCACGGGGAGATTATGTCCAAGCTGCCAAGATTGCAGCTAACTCTCCCCGCGGATTCCTTCGTACGCCTGCGACCATTAATCTCCTCAAGAATGCTCCGCAGCCCGCAACAGGCATGTCCGTTATCTTGCAATATTTTGGAATGCTCCTTGATCAAGGCGGTATGAACCAATATGAGAGTGTGGAGCTGGTGAGACCTGTGCTGCAGCAAGGTCGAAAACATCTCCTGGAAAAATGGATGTCCGAAAACAAACTTGGGTGTTCGGAGGAACTGGGTGATCTGGTGCGCCCACATGATATGAATCTTGCACTCAACATCTACTTGAAAGCCAATGTGCCTCACAAGGTGGTCGCCGGCTTTGCCGAAACCGGCCAGTTCGACAAGATCTTGGCCTTCTCGAAGCAAGCCGGATACCAGCCAGACTACATTCAGCTCCTCCAGCATATTGTGCGCGTCAACCCTGAGAAGTGTGCGGAGTTCGCAACACAACTTGCCAGCGATGAAAATGGCGCTCTTGTGGACTTGGATCGTGTCGTTGATGTGTTCATTTCTCAGAACATGGTTCAACAAGCGACTGCTTTCCTGCTCGATGCACTGAAAGATAACAAGCCTGAGCATGCACATCTTCAGACGAGATTGCTTGAGATGAACCTTGTTAATGCCCCGCAGGTCGCGGATGCCATACTTGGCAATGAGATGTTTACACACTACGATAAAGCAAGAATATCGCAGCTTTGTGAAAATGCACAGCTCTACCAACGTGCTCTGGAGAATACCGACGATCCTGCTGTCATCATGCGAAATATTGTCCGCACAGACAAGCTGAACCCAGAATGGTTAATCAACTATTTTGGACGCCTGTCGGTCGAGCAGTGTTTGGAGTGTATGAATGAGATGCTGAAAACCAACCTCCGACAAAACTTGTCGGCTGTTGTTCAAATTGCCACCAAATTTTCAGATCTCCTTGGTCCGACTAACTTGATCAACCTCTTCGAGAAGTATCGAACTGCTGAAGGCCTTTACTATTACCTTGGCAGCATTGTAAATCTAAGCGAAGATCCGGATGTCCATTTCAAGTATATTGAAGCTGCAACGGCAATGAACCAACTGACCGAGGTAGAGCGCATTTGCCGGGAAAGCAATTACTACAACCCAGAGAAAGTTAAGAATTTTTTGAAGGAAGCTCGCCTAACCGAGCAACTGCCTTTGATCATTGTTTGCGACCGTTTCAACTTTATTCATGACCTTGTATTATATCTTTATCAAAGCCAGCAGTATCGGTCCATTGAGGTCTACGTCCAACGCGTTAACCCATCCAGAACTCCAGCTGTCGTCGGCGGTTTGTTGGATGTTGACTGTGAGGAGAGCATCATCAAGAACCTTCTGTCTACGGTTGACGCTGCATCAATTCCCATTGATGACCTTGTTTCCGAGGTCGAGTCTCGAAATCGCCTTAAGATCCTTCTTCCATTCCTGGAGAATACACTTGCCACTGGGAACCAGCAACAAGCCGTTTACAACGCTCTCGCCAAGATTTATATCGATAGTAATAACAACCCAGAAAAATTCTTGAAGGAGAACGATCTCTACGATCCTCTTATCGTTGGAAAGTATTGCGAGAAGCGTGATCCCAACCTTGCCTACATTGCCTATCGCAAGGGACAGAACGATCTTGAGCTCATCAATATCACCAATGAGAACTCCATGTACCGCGCTCAAGCTCGTTATCTTTTGGAGCGTGCGGATCCCGAAATATGGGCTTTTGTTCTTAACGCGAATAACATCCACCGCCGGGCATTGGTAGATCAAGTCGTCGCTACTGCCGTGCCTGAGTCTGCGGAGCCGGATAAGGTGTCTATTGCCGTCAAGGCCTTCCTCGATGCCGACTTGCCAGGCGAACTCATCGAACTTTTGGAGAAGATCATTTTGGAACCATCCCCTTTCAGTGATAATAGCAGCCTGCAAAATCTGATGATGCTTACCGCTGCCAAAGCCGATAAAGGCCGCCTCATGGATTACATCCATAAACTTTCTGAGTTCAATGCCGATGAAATTGCGACGATGTGTGTTTCTGTGGGTTTGTACGAGGAGGCTTTTGAAATTTACAAGAAGGTTGACAACCATCTGGCTGCCACCAACGTCCTTGTCGATTCCATTGTTAGCATCGACCGTGCACAGGAATATGCGGAGGGTGTTGAACTTCCCGAAGTTTGGAGCAAGGTAGCGAAGGCTCAGCTGGATGGGCTCCGCATTTCTGATTCTATTGCGTCATATATCCGAGCGGGTGACCCGTCCAATTATAATGAAGTAATCGAAACTGCCACGCATGCTGGGAAGGACGTTGACCTTGTCGAGTTCCTTAAAATGGCTCGGAAAACGCTACGGGAACCTGCTGTTGATACCGCATTGGCCTTCTGCTATGCCAGGTTGGATCAATTAAGCGAGCTAGAGGACTTCTTGCGAGGTATAAACGTCGCAGATGTGGAGGCGTCTGGTGACAAGGCTTATGAGGAAGGCTTCCATGAGGCTGCCAAGATATTCTATACCAGCATCTCCAACTGGGCAAAACTTGCCACTACTCTCGTCCACCTCGAAGAATATCAGGCCGCTGTTGAGTGCGCTCGGAAAGCCAACAACATCAAAGTATGGAAGCAAGTCAACGAGGCGTGTGTTTCTAAGAAAGAATTCCGTCTTGCTCAAATTTGCGGTCTCAATCTCATTGTTCACGCTGAAGAATTGCAGGATTTAGTTCATCAATATGAGCGAAATGGCTATTTCGATGAGCTTATTGCTGTTTTGGAGGCTGGGCTCGGCCTGGAGAGAGCTCACATGGGTATGTTCACGGAATTGGGTATCTCTTTGTCCAAATATCACCCAGACAAAGTTATGGAGCACCTGAAACTATTTTGGACACGAATCAACATCCCTAAAATGATCCGGGCCTGCGAAGAGGCAAACCTGTGGCCAGAGCTGGTGTTCTTGTACTGTCACTATGATGAATGGGATAATGCTGCACTAGCAATGATGGAAAGGGCAGCGGACTCCTGGGAGCACCACTCTTTCAAAGATATCATCGTCAAGGTTGCAAATCTCGAAATTTACTACCGCGCGTTGAATTTCTACCTTCAGGAACAACCACTGCTACTGACCGACCTTCTGCAAGTCCTTACTCCACGTATTGATGTCAACCGTGTCGTTCGCATGTTTGAGAAATCCGATAATATTCCTCTTATCAAGCCATTCTTGCTTAACGTACAACCACAGAACAAGAAGGCCGTCAATAATGCTATTAACGACTTGTTGATTGAAGAGGAAGATCACAAGACCTTGCGAGATTCGGTGGAGAATTATGACAACTACGATCCTGTGGAGCTAGCGCAGAGACTTGAGAAGCATGACCTGGTCTTCTTTAGACAAATCGCGGCCAGCATCTACCGCAAAAACAAGAGATGGGAGAAATCGATTTCTCTTTCAAAACAAGACAAGCTCTTCAAGGATGCTATCGAGACTGCGGCTATCTCAGGAAAGACTGAAGTTGTGGAAGAACTGCTAAGATACGTACGTATTTTCCATCGGGAACGTTTCTTTCTAGATGTAATTATATGGCAACCATTAATTGCTAACATTTGACTTTCAGTTCGTGGATATCGGTAGCCGAGAATGTTACGTTGGCATGCTATACGCCTGCTATGACCTCATCCGACCAGATGTGGTTATGGAAATCTCATGGCGCCACAGACTGACCGACTTTTCCATGCCCTACATGATCAATCTTCTTAGCCAACAAGTCCGCACTGTTGAGCTTCTCAAGAAGGACAACGAAGAACGCAAGGCCCGCGAAGCGTCCCAGAAAAAGGAAGAAGACAACACCCCAGTTCTAGGTGGATCACGACTTATGCTCACCCAAGGCCCAGCGGCGGCGCCGCCATCTGCAAGTCCCATTCCGTTTGGCCATACGAACGGTATCACGCCCCAGCCCACTGGATTCCGACCCTTTTGATTGTCAGGAATAAACCCCGCTGTGTAACTAGCTAACTCAATGAATGTTTGTAAAAGAAAAATACACCTAGAAAGAAAAAAGGAGAAAAAATAATAGAGCAGTGACGGGATACTGCTTTGTTTCTTGACCTTTTACAGGAAAATTCCAAAAAAAAATATCGTGATTCTCAGGTACGGATGGATGGATGGATGGATGATATTTTATTCCTTTCAACTAGGCCTTAAATTTATTTTTGCTTTTTAGTTTCATTTTTCATATATCTTTAGTTTTGATTTCTTGCTTTTCCCTCTCATTCTGTGGCTTTTGTTCCATTAATCCCCTCTTGTATTACTTTCCCCTTTATTTTGCAAATTCTCAAACACCCCCCCTTCTTTTTACCCCTATCATTTACTTCTGTTTTTTTTTAAGAAAAAAACTCTATGTATTTGAACTACTCTTTCTTCTACTAATGATGCACTTCACATTTTCTGCATTTGACCTCTAGATTTTCCAGTATTCTCTTGCTCAGTGGTGGTTAAGTCAAGCTGTAATGAATCAAGAGCAGTAACAGAAAACTGTCCGTGGAACCACCTCTCCCAATAATTCCAACCAAACAAACACATTTTTATATGGCCGTTGAGTGATGTTTAGAAATCATCGATTTCATATTTATTGTGATTTTTCGGATATGGAGCTAGAGCAGAGAAGATTTTTTGAAATCCAGGGATGCCAGAAGATAGACTCATTTACTCCTATTTTTCTATCAGCTTTCTCACATGTTTTCTTCAAAGCAATGAATCTTTATATCCTTTTTGTATTATTTCCTTATAGTGTTGTCATCTTACCAGTTATATTTCTTCATCGTCATCATCTACTATGGCCCGAGGCAGAGAATTAAGCCCTCAAATGCGATATCTTCACACTATGTAATTAATTAATCAGAGCTAATTAACTACAACCTTTTAGGGTATCTTGGTAAGTTAGCACTGCCTCATTCTTGGCAGAGTCAAGAACTTGCATATAACTACTACCTCCTTTACATGTAATTATCAGTATATAGATACTCAAGTCAATTCATTCATTATCTATCAATATTCAGTACTTGGGTCAATATTCAGACAATTAATCGCCGCTCCGACAGTTATGAGCCCAGGTTAGCTACCAATCACTATCTTGATATCCATATTTTATCAACCTATCTATCTATCTTATATCTATCTGATCCCCACTGACCTCCTTATCGGCGAGCGATAGCGGCATATTATATCCTAGCATACGTTCCTTTCTCCCATACCAACCTGATTGCTTGGAAGCCGTGTTATCATCTAGGTGACATCTATCTCGATGGTAAAACGTTCAGATTGCGAAGGATTAAGCGATGATTCGATCTTTGCCCGTATAAGAGGTATATGGCGGATTGCTGGTTACTGAATATCGCAGAACTAGCAATTCAACGGAACCTGCGAAGATATCTCAATCAGAATCTATTAGGATATCAAAATCATCGAATCCTCCCTCCTTCGTACGCCCCAAAGAGCTCTATCGCTTCCTCAAAGATTTGGCATCAACGCCTAGGTCATCCATCAATGAGAGCAGTTGAATATCTTCCAATTGATGCCGAGGGTGTTCAGATATCAGATATCAAAGATATTGCGAAAAATGATGAAGAAGGCAAAGAACTTTTGTGAACTTTGCCACCTTGCCAAGGCAAAGAATCAAATATCACGCCGTCCCCACGTACGATCTAAACTACCTTTCGATTCGAACGTCTCCATGCAGATATTTTACAAGGACCTTCCCATTGCTATGATGGTGAACGATGGCTCATACATTTTGTATGTGATTATCTTCGCGTTCATATCGCAGTTACAGCCATAAGAAAATCCGATATAAGAAAATCCTCGGATAAGGTTTTGAGATGGATCAAACGCCAGTTCAACTGCGAGACAAAGATCATACGGATCGATAATGAGAAAGCAATCAAGGAATCCGATATCTTTAAGGACTGGGTCATCGAATTAGGCCTAGAGATCGAATATAGGATATAATATGCCGCTATCGCTCGCCGATAAGGAGGTCGATGAGGATCGGATAGATATGTTGATATATTATAGATATCAAGATAGCGATTGGTAGCTAACCCGGGCTCATAACTGTCGGAGCGGCGATTAATTGTCTGAATATTGACCCAAGTACTGAATATTGATAGATAATGAATGAATTGACTTGAGTATCTATATCCTGATATCTGTATGTTTTGTGTATATTTTTGAAAGAAACTTATTCATAGACCTTTTGACTCCTTAGTAAATTCACCTGTATTTGGGGGGTAGCAAAGAAAAGAAAGAAAAGTAAAAGAAATGAGATTAAAAAATATTTGTTTTTGCTCTGCTCTATATCTATTCAAATAGAGTATCGAAGTCAACCCATAACAGTCAATAAAAACCCATAGAACTTCATAAAAAACGCCCCCCCTCCTTAAAAAAAAAAAAAAATACAAAAATACAAAAAGCACCCCGGAATCAAAGTCTACATTCATATTTCCCATTTCCCCAGCGCCTGCCCAAAAACACAAATACCGCAGCAACCCCCTCGCTCAATACCGATACCTCGTCGAATAGTCCTTCGGACTAACCACCAAGCCCCTCCCCTTCTTCGCCCCCTTATAAATCGTCTCGATAATATCGATAAGCTCCTGCTTATCATCCAGCACCCAGTTCAGCTTGTTGTTATTGCCCGTGCCGAAGTCGCACATCATGTGCTTGTTGCGGAAGAAGAACATGATCGTCATGGGGTCGTAGAGCTCGTACATCTGGTTGAAGTCCGGCACCTGGTCGATGTCGCAGACGTAGATGACGGCGAAGTTCTTGACGCGGTCGGCGATGCGGAAGAGCACCTCGTCCTGCCGCATGCAGTCTGGGTCCCAGTCGCGGCCGAAGCGGATCACGACGAGGCGCTCCTCGTCGGAGAGGATTGCTTGGTCGACATGCCAGCCTGTGGTGAGGTGGGGAAGGACGACGGAGCCCATAGCTTGTTTATTTTTGGGTGGTGCAACTGAGCGGGTGGTGGAGGAGGGGATGATTGCAGAGAGCGAGGGGCTCTCCCTTTATTTTGTTTTCTTATCTTTCTTTTCTTTTTGTGGGTTTTTGTTTCCAGGATGCTACATGCCAGCATCGCGGAGTCAATAGTTCGCTATCCAGGTAAAGCTACTAGCGCCCGCATCACGTGGCTAGCAAGGATTCTATCCATATAATTGCGGATGGCTCCAACCTCTTGTAGCTCAAAAGCGAAGGAGAAAACAGCTTCATTTAGACAAGTATATCTAGTATGTAGTATGTCATAGAGAGGTGTTGGATTTCATACAAAAGGAAGAAAAAAACAGAAGAAAAAAGGACATGAACAAGTACAGTGAGAATTAACAGAGTTCAGAGACAGAGAAACATGGACGACATGAGAAAAGAGAAAATAACAGCTTCCAAAAAAGTAAAAGCAAATAATGAAAAATAAAACCAAAAGTAAAAATAAAGAGAGAGAAGGAGAAGAAGAAGGAAGGAAAAGGAAAATCCAACTATGTATATACCTATCTCCCCTATTGTAAAATAAAGATATGCAAAGCTTCTCTATAATAACATCATGTTAAGCAAGGTGTGTTGCTTTTTTCCGGGTTACAGGGCTTTTCCCATTTTATTTTTATCATTCGTCTCTTTCCCTTTCTTCCTTTCTTGACCTGTCCGTTCTTTTCCGTTTGTTTTCCGCTTTTTTGGCCCTCCCCTCCTGTAAAATTAGGCTGCCTTCACAATTTTACAGATGAGGTCCTGCCCGTCCACTGAGTCTCCCTCCTTAACTTCAAGGTTGGATACGACGCCGTGATGCGGGGCGGAGATCACCATTTCCTGTAGGCGGGTGGGAAGGGAGAAGGAATTAGTTAGTTGATGAAAAAAAATTAATGGGGAGGGTTGAAGGGGGAAGGAAGCTAGTCGGGGGAAAAAACTGGAGGAAATGAAAAGCAAAAAAAGGATGTATGGGAGAGCTTGGGGGCAGGGGTATGGGGGGGAAGACAATACCATCTTCATCGCGCTAAGAACAGCAAGCGGGTCTCCCTTCTTCACCTCCAACCCATCATGCACGCGGATCTCAACGACAACACCACTCATCGGCGCGCCAACCTGGCTACTATCGCTTAGATCCGCCTTGGGCCTGCTCGCATCGTCGACCGCAGCAAGGTTGTCGTCCACAGAAACCTGCCGGACCTCGCCGTTCATTTCATAAAACACCTCGCGCTGCCCAGTCTGCTCGGATAGCGGCCCCACGGCCAGGAGCTTGAGAATAAGCACCTTGCCCTGCTCCAGTTCGACGGAGAATTCCTCGCCGATCTGCGGTCGAGCGAGGAAGTACTTTGTCGGTAGCACGGAGAGGTCGCCGTACTTCGCCACGAATTTGCGATAGTCTTCAAACACCTTGGGGTACATGGCGTAGCTGGCGACATCGCATTCGGTGGCGGTACCGAACTTCTCGCGCAGGTCGTTCTTGATCTTGGCGAGGTCGAGCGGTTCCAGGTGCAGGCCTGGCCGGTCGTTGAGCTTGCGGCGCTCACGGAGGGCGCGGGATCGGAGTGGTTCAGGAAAGCCGCCGTACGGCTGGCCCATGAGACCTTCGAAGAACTCTAGAACGGAGCCCGGGAAGTCAAGTTCGCCGGCGCGGGCGATAACGTCATCCGGCGTCAGCTTGTTGGAGACCATGAACTGGGCCAGGTCACCAACAACCTTCGACGTCGGGGTGACTTTGACGATGTCGCCGAGCAGGTCGTTGGCTTGCTCATATGCCTTCTTGGTTTCAGCCCATTGGGCACCCAGGCCGAGCTGGTGGGCTTGGAAGATCAAATTGGTCAACTGCCCGCCGGGGATCTCGTGTTCGTACACTTCTGGGTCTGGACCTGTCAGGCCAGCCTCGAATGGTGAGTAGAGAAGACGTAATTGCGCCCAGTATGAATCGATTGCGCGGATGTTGCGGATGTTGAGCTTGGGGTCGAGGTCTGTGCCTTCGAGGGATGCAATAATGGCACCCACGCTGGGTTGAGACGTCATTCCGGACATGCTGTCGGTAGCGGCATCGACGGCATCAGCACCAGCCTGGGCGCAAGCTACCATAGATGCAACACCGGTACCGGCGGAGTCATGGGTATGCACATGGATAGGAAGGTCTGGGTATCGCTGGCGGATGGCTCCAACAAGAAGGGTAGCAGCTTGGGGCTTCAGCACACCCGCCATATCCTTAATACCAAGGACATGCGTCCCGATCTTGACAATTTTGTCAACTAGGGTGAGGTAGTAGTCTAAATTGTATTTCTTGCTCGGGTTCAGCATGTCGCCACTGTAGCAAATAGTAGCTTCAATAACGCCGCCAGCAGCGGCAACGGCCTTCATGCCAACCTCGAGCTGGTCGATATCATTCAAAGCATCGAAAACACGGAAGATATCAACGCCATATCTTTTTGCTTGTTTACAGAAGTGATAGATGGCATTATCGGGGAGCCTACGACACAGAGGGAGTGTCACAAATTAGTTTGAGGTTAGGCAAAATGCACAAACACCATGGCTGATTGAACTTGGTTAAAAATATACTCGACTTACGAAGAATATGCAACCCCGTTCGCACCACGAAGCAACATCTGGAATGGGATATTGGGCACCGCCTTTCTCATTTTCCGCAACCGATCCCACGGATCCTCATACAAGAATCTCATAGCCACGTCGAAGGTCGCACCTCCCCAACACTCCAAACTGTAGGCATTGCTGTACGCGTAGCTGGTCTCCTTGGAAATGTTCAGCAAATCAACCGTTCTGACACGGGTAGCCAACAACGACTGATGGGCATCTCGCCAGGTGGTGTCCATGATCAAACAGCCCTTGTTGGCACGAACAGCCTTGGCGAAGGCAGCTGGACCTTGTTCATCAATGATCTTCTTCCATCCCTGCGAGCAAGGAACAGTTACATCAACGGGCTCGTTACTCTCATCAACGATGGTGGGCATATTGATATCACCCTTGAACTTAGGCTCGCCAATCTGGCCCTTGATGCTGCTACCATTGACGGCAATGTCGCCAAGATAAGCGAGCAATTTCTGGGCACGGTTTTGGCTACCAATCATAGAGAAGAGTTCGGGCGAATCGTCAATGAAGGTGGTCCAGCAGGTACCCTCGATGAAGGTTGGATGCGTCAGAACCGATGCCAAGAATGGGATATTGGTCTTGACGCCGCGGATGCGGAACTCGATAAGGGCACGAAGCATCTTGCGTCGTACAATCTCATAGGTGAAACCACGGCAAGTGCACTTGACCAACATAGAATCGTAATGCGGGGTGATAATGGCTCCAGCAAAGCCGTTGCCTCCGTCCAGACGCACACCGTTCCCGCCAGCAGAACGGTAAACTTCAATCTTGCCGGTGTCAGGGGAGAAGCCCTTGGTGGGGTCCTCTGTTGTTATGCGGCACTGGATGGCGAAGCCGCGAGTTGAGATGCGGTCCTGCGTTAAGCCTAGCTGTTCCAGGGAAGCACCCGCAGCGATCTGGATCTGGGCGGCGACAATATCAATTCCAGTGATTTCCTCAGTAATGGTATGCTCGACCTGGATGCGGGGGTTGATTTCAATAAAATAATAGCGGTTCTGTTGGTCGACAAGGAATTCCGCGGTGCCAGCATTGCGGTAGTTAACTGACTTGGCAAGCTTCACGGCGTCGGCCAAGATGCTGTCGCGGACATCGACGGGCAAATCCTTGGCGGGTGCAACTTCGACGACTTTTTGGTGGCGACGTTGGACACTGCAGTCGCGCTCGTACAGGTGGACGATATTGCCATGGTTGTCGCCAAGCAGCTGCACTTCAATGTGCTTTGGTTTGTCCAGGAATCGTTCTACGAAAACGGTGCCGTTGCCAAACGCGGACTTGGCCTCCGAGGTCGCACGCTCAAAGGCATCCTGCAGGGTCTCCTGTTCCCTGACCACTCGCATACCGCGACCGCCACCACCAAAAGCAGCTTTGATGATGATGGGGAAGCCATACTGATCCGTGAATGCCTTGACCTCTTCGAATCTCTCGACGGGGCCGGGGGTACCGGGGACGACGGGGACACCGCATTTAATGGCTAGGCGTCGGGCTGAAACCTTGTCTCCCAGCGCATCGATGGTGTCCGGAGTCGGTCCCACGAAGACCAACCCAGCCTTCTCAACATTCCGGGCAAACTCGGCGTTCTCGGACAAAAAGCCATATCCGGGATGAATGAGATGAACGCCGTGCTGGACGGCGATCTTGATAATCTCATCGCCCGCAAGGTAGGCACCCACAGGGGTATATTGACCCCTCTTGCCGATGATATAGGCCTCATCTGCCTTCTGGCGATGCATGCTCAGTCTGTCCTCATAGCTGTAGACCGCGACGGTTTGAAGCGAAAGTTCGTGGGCCGTACGGAAAATTCGAATGGGGATTTCCCCGCGGTTGGCGACGAGGATCTTGTTGAATTGCATGATGGTGGAATTAGCACGCAGTCTGCCATGGACGGAGTGATGGGCGGGGTGGCGGCTATGGTCTTCCGCCAGATCGTCCACGGCAGACTCATGCTGTCCTGGAGGGAAGCCTGAGAAGAAACTCGTCATTGTGAAGGGGGGTTTCGCGGTGATTGGGGTTGTCGTATAGAGGGGAACAGGTGGGCGCGGATGGGAGAAAGGGCAGGCAGACGCGCTGTCCTAGTCCCCAGAAGAATTGCTATCTCACACACACTGTTCTATACAAATGTTGGGGAGAAAAAAAGTAAAAGAAGAAGAAGAAAAAAAGGAAGGAGCTGGAAGAATCAGGAGAGGGAATTAGCTGAGAAACTGGAAGAACCAATTGAAGGGTTGAGAAACGTGGTTTTTTGGTGGAGATGAAAAGAGTTGGGAGTTGGGAATAGTGGGGGAGGAGTGGAGGGGCGAAGGTTGCGCCCGTAGCACCACAGCATACCTCGAGACCCGGAACGCAGAACACAGCCAATTGGACAGGGCTCGTAGGATCAGGACAGATGAAGCTGCAACAATTGAGCAATTGAGCAATTGAGC